CAGAAAAAAACATTCAAGTTGCAATTGATTTGTCGTCTTTTTCATCCATCATAGCGTAAACAAACTCTTTTCGAGCCGTATCCTTGCGGCCAGCGACCAAGCAAAGACCAGACCGGAACGGAATAGCACACTGGCCCAAGTACCAAGGCGACTCCCGTACCTTGTCTCTCGCTTCTCATCCGCTTGTAATCTCAAACTCGACAATTATGCCATTGTTGTTCGGTCAAATCTGCGACGGGAGCCGAGACACACTTTGATCACCGTGCCATCACCTGTCCGCCACTGGACAGTCAAGCCGTGTGCATATCGAGAACCTGAACGACAGACCGAGTACTGCGTACCTTTGCCATTTCCACCACACTACCACGCTAGTCATAATCATCGTCTTTTTTTTTTTTTTTTTCTGCCGGCCAAATCGATTCCCAGGGATCCACTTCATATCGACAAAATAATCACCAGATAATAGTCCAACCCCCGGTAGACGGCGAATATTCTCCGCCCACCCCCATCCTCGACCATGACGACTCTCACTCCGGTCGCAACCCGATCGCAGGCAACCCCGCTCACTTCATCCGCCATCAAGTCCATCCTACGAAAGCCGACCACCGTGCTCGGGAGAAGGTCCAGGGAAGAGGACGGTGAGAGTAGCGACGGCCTCCCAGGCAGCAGCCCCGCCAAGAAGAGGAAAACCGTCATGTTCAACGACAAGCTCAACATGATCAAGGAATTCGGTGGCAAGACGTTGGACGACGCAAAGCGCGAGGTCAAGCAGGCCCTTGAGGGTCATGCCCGCGGAGACGATGAAGACTACGATGGCCTGAAGGAAATCTTTTGCCCGAGCCCGAAGCGAACAATTGTTGAAGAGGAAGATGCCGATGCACCACAACCACAAGACCTCCAGGTTTACGTCGTTGCCTTGACTAGCCATGCGCCATTGCTGGACAGATCGTGTTCGGGACTCATCCGGGCGGTGCTCAATTGCACGTGGCTGGACAGGGACGATGTTTTTGCACGAGCGTACATTCAGCTACTGGCAGCCTTGTCTGCAAAGGTGTATTTCAGGCAACAGGCACTCTCGATGATGGTCGACAAATTTACCGAGACACGATCCTCCACCGTCGAAGTCGTACCGGGGTTTCCGCCCGTCGATAGCGAGACCAAGAAAGAGCGGCTACATCTCGGTCTGAAATATCTCCTCGAGCTCTACGCCGATGCACGACCGATGATCCTCGATATCGTTACCCACAACTTCCCACATACCGAAGAATCGAAGACGAGACACATGGAATACATCGATCACTTGCTCAGGCTGAAGGTGGACAAGCCGGACTTGGAACGGGACATAATGGAACTGATCCTCTCGCGACTGGTGAAGCTGGACGTCGAAATGACACTGGATTTGGAGAACGACGACGACGAGACCACACGGGCGGTTCTACGGCAACTCGAAGCTTCGAACGCTAAGAGCGATGATGAGGATGACGATGCCATGAGCGACGCCGATTCGGACGACGAAGACGAGGAGGAAAGTGACGAGCAAACAAGGCGAATTCTCCTGCTGAAGAGCAAGCTGGAAACGATGGACGCCATTCTCGACCTGCTCTTTTCCATCTACGATCCCGTCTTTGCTGACCCCGATAGCCCGGAGGCACTAGCCACCTTTGAGGATCTATTAACAGATTTTGTGAACGTCATCCTCCCTCACCTTAAATCGCGTCATACACAATACCTCCTCTTCAAGTTCGCCATGAAGTCCAACCGGCTCATGGAGATGTTCATCGGCACTCTCTTCAACATCGCCTTCCAATCTACCCGGGCGCCCGTAGTCAAGCAAGCGGCCGTCGCCTATCTGGCATCCTTCACGGCACGAGGAGCTCGCGTGCAGAGCGACCAGGTGCAACTGATTGCGCAGACCTTCCTCGACTACATCGATCACTACAGAAACACCCACACCAGCTGCCGCGGACCGGACATACGGCGCTATGGTCAGTATTATGCGTACTTTCAGGGGTTGCTGTACATCTTCTGCTTCCGCTGGCGGGATCTGATTGATCGGGACGAGGTCCCCGCGAGCTTTGACTGGGACGACCCGGCCAGCTTCTTGGGCCAGGACTTGCCGTGGATGAAGGGTTTGAGGCAGCGATTGCAGGTGAATATCGCCAGCAAGCTTAATGTAAGCCATCCACCACCCGCTATTGGTCTTGGGTTTCACGTTTACTGACAATAAACGTAACAACAGCCCCTAAAATGCTGCTCCCCAATAATCGTCGACGAATTTGCCCGCCTCTCGCACCACCTCCGGTTGATCTACATCTACCCCCAAATCGAAAAGAACAAGACCATCCACCTCTCGCAGTTCTTTACATCTTCGTACGCCACCGGCGGCGCCCTTCGCGACTCCGGCTTCGAGTTCGATCACGAGAATTGGACGCATATTGAGGCGTGCTTCCCCTTTGATCCGTTCCAGCTACCTGTTGCCAAGAGGTGGTTGGACTTGGACAAGAACTATGTCGAGTGGAGGAGCATTGCTATGCTCGAGAAGGGTGGTGATGATGATAGTGATAGTGACGATGAGGATGACGATGATGTGAGTGAGGATGGCATGGGCGATATTGGGGATGCATCGGATTATGAGAGTGATGAGGAGGTTGAGGCTGGGGGCGTGGAGCATGATGATGAGAGTACGGATGAGGAGAGAGATGATGGGTACCATGGGAGCTTTAGGAGGATCTAAGAGGGGGCTGCACACCATGAGAGTGGTTGAAGTGGTGAAGTGGTCCAGGAGGAAGGTCATTATTTCTTTGTTGGTTGGTTTTGTTTTCTTGGTAGGGTTTCATGTCTGTTTCTCTATCTGCATGGCGAATAGGCGGCGGCGGGAAAGCGCATCACCTTCGTCACTCACTTTTGGCGTTTTGGAGGGGCAAAGGGAAAAGAAAAGGGAAGGGAACGGGTTGGAACTTAAAAACTGTTTTTTTTTTTTTTTTTCTTTGGTTGGGACTACAAGGCAAGGAATGGTTCGAAGGAACAGTGATGTATGATATGGAACGGAATGGGATGGGTAGGATGTGAGGAGGATATACCATAGATGGATGGGTGAATTACCTACTTTCGGTTCCAGTTGTCATTGGCTGTCCATGATATGCTATGCTAGGTATGCTATGCTGTCCATCGAGGCAGACAGACAAAACTGAGCCATAGATACACAGGAAACATGTAAGCGGAGGATGAATCAGCACCCACGGTGAGGAGTACGTACCATATACGTTAGATTAGTCTACGAACAAGTAGCTATCCTCTGAACTAGCGAAAGGGAAGAAAAAAAAAAAAAAGCAAAATATCAATCCATGTCATCAGCCGGCAGTGCCCGCCCGGTAATGCTCACGGTAGTCCTCACGGAAGTGTCAAGCGTGAAGTATGAAGCAGTGTCAAAGCCTTACTCATCACTTTGCTAGGCTTGCCTTGTGCTACCTTCCACTTCTCTTCGATCGATGAGGCGTTGCCTTGACCGGGGGCACCGGGGCTTGGGGGCACTGCAGTGGTGAATGGACATGTGCGGGCATGCAGCGTTGCATCCCCCCTAACCCACAAAAAAAAATAGGTATTTGTCACCATGTGCATTGCAGCACCAAGCGAGGAACTTTTGGGTGCCTGGGGATGGATGGACGGATGGTTCACTCGTCCGAGACAAAATAGATGAGACCGACCAATAGGTTAGGTGAATCAGTTCGCTACCGCTTGTCAATTTTGTTCTTCTTTTTTTTTTTTTTTTTTTTTTTTTTTTTTTTTTTTATAAGAAGAAGGCCGTTGTAAGCATGTAATACGCATTACAGCAATTCGAAAAAAAACATTGGCTAGAGTCTCATCTAGATACAAATATCCAGAAACTGCCTAGAACTCAAGATCAGAGGTGTGACAAAGACGCTGGATGCGTGGTAGGAGTATACCCGGTATGATGTCAAATGTCTCAACTATTTTGTCCAGGACGAGGTTCGATGGTTGGATGGTTGGATGGATGGGTCGATGAATGGTTGGATGGATCTGCATTTCCCCCCTTCCCCCGGACCGGCGGTCTTAGGCCATCAAGGTTCTTTTATTCTTCCGCTTTCTATCATTTGATTTCTATCCGGAAGGATGACATATCGACAGGGCTGGAAGGCGGGAAAGGCGGGTAGCTACTACTACGCTGGATGAGGTAAGTTCCTTATATTGGAGGCATGGAATGGATGGTACGATCCTGGTTAAGGTATTTGAGTTAACGGGATGATTTGAGTTTCTGGGTTTGGTGCAGTGTGGTGGTCATGCTGTCGAGTGTCAGTGAACCTGGAGCATTTGTACAAACTCTCGTCGCTCTCTGGCACTTTAACTGGTGGTTAGGTTTCCATGCTTGCTTGCCATGACAGAAATCGATGCGAGAAACTTTGGAGTGACACTCGGAGACTTGATGTTGGTGTTGATGGCTGCACATCATATGTTTGGGTTGATTTCATGCGGAGCGTTCCGTTTCCGTCGAGATTCTTTTTGTTGAGAGTCGATCTCGGAGGGGACATGTCCGATGATGATGATGATGATCTGGATGATATATGTGTAGAGGTAGTATCTGTCCGTCAGGTCTGGACTGGAATTAAAGCACACTACTCCGGACCTCTTGCCATCTTTATCACCCACAGCCGATATCTCTACCAGCACAAGCCCCGTTGACTTACATCCGTTCAAGCTCGGCCTTTGCTTGCTTGACGTTAGCAGCATAATCAAGTATCAAAAGGACAAAATCGTTGCAGCAAGATGTATTCTTACGTCTCCTCTTCCTCTTCCTACTCGTCTTCTTCTTCCTCTTCTTCCTTGCCCTCCTCCTCTTCTTTCCCATCTTCCTGCTCAATCAAGGGACAATCCACAGCATCACCACCATCTCATCACCATGAACCTACCAAACCATCAGCTACTATGATCATCACACCACAACCACCTTCTTCTTCATCTTCCTTCTCCACCACCAACAGCAGCAGCAACAGCAGCAACAGCAAATTCAACAACGACATCATCAACAACAAAACCTCAACCTCCCTCTCTCTTCCACAAGCAGCCACACCCCCGGACTTACTTCAACTTCGATACCACGACCCTCCACACTCTCAAACCACCCACCAACTTGATTCCCGTTCGTCATCGATGTCCAATACGGACCACATGCACACCGATACTTCTGTCTCTACAGGTACTTCTCCCTCTACCTCTACTTCTACTCCTACCTCTCCAGGGACTTCCACCTCTCCAGATACTTCTAACTCTCCAGGTACCTCTACCTCTCCCTCCACAGATACTTCCACTTCCACAGCTAGTCAACGCCAACCTCAAAAGTATCACACCCGCCGCCGCCTCCAAGTCCGCCGCGCCCAGTCCTCCCACCGCCAACGAAAAGCCGACTACATCAAGCGTCTGGAGCGCGAGATTGCGAGTATTCGGGGGATGATTGATCAGATGAAAGAGGATATGGAAGTGTTGAGAGGGGAGAATGAGGATTTGGGGGTGATGGCGGTGAGGAGATGAGGTGTGAAGAAGATCCCAGGATCGTGAGGTCAAAAGGGAAGAGAGAGAGAGGGGGGGGGTTGGAAATTGGAAGTTGGAAGGGGGAAGGCACGGGGGAAGGCACGGGGGAAGGGACAAGTTGGAAGAAGGAGGCACGTGGAGAGAAGGGGTAACTGGACTGGACTGGATTGAATTGAATCGATGGAACGAAGGTGAAGATTCGAGAGGACATGGAAGAATGTCAGTTGAGTTCAATAGATGGTTCTGTTGAGAGTGATGATAACTTGGTTGTGAATGGTGGAGGCGGACGGCAGGCCTTCTTCCATTTTTTTTTTATTTTTTTTTTTATTTTTTTTTTTTCCTTCCTTCCTTCTTTTCTTTCTTCCACTTTTTCTGTGCTGTATTACTTTCTCATGTTTTATCTTTACTTGTATTTTCTTCCTTTTTTTTCGCCCTCATCCTTTCTAGGTCTAACCTTGAATTCTCGTCGACACAACCTACCATTAGATCTCTCCAAATCTCTCTTACCAAAATCATCACCAAAGCTCATCTGCGTTGCAACACCTCTCCTTGTTTTTGTTAAATCCTTTTACTACTCATGATGCGTGGGATTCAGCGTAGCATGTGAATGAAGTCAATGATCTATCTCATGATTCTGTAAAAGAGAGAGAGAGAGAGCGCGCTTGGGATTCGCCGATCCTTAACGACGGCTTTTGTAAGTAGCCTGCCCAGATGGCACTCTGCCGTGCCTTCCCTTAAGGGAAATCCCGCATAAATGCCCTTCTCAAAAGAAGAAAGACGACGTCCTCGTCGTTAACTATTATATATATTAACATAATTATCTGCTGTACCTAGCCGGTGTCCTCTGCCTTCTTGCGTCTGTTAATGCTGCGCCAGCTTGCCTTCTTCGCGTTACTTGGTTACTCCGACTTTATGAATGTTTCTCCAGTGACACATGTGAATAAACAGACACCAGTCTTCTTTACCTATCTTCCAACATACGCGTCTCTCTACATCAACTTGTTTATCTCCAGCCATTAAGTGCGCCGCGACTTTGTTATCGACTAGATTGTTTGGATTTCTCTCCGGCTCCATCGTCTATATTTTTGCCTCGCCTTCCTCTGACTCTATCCACTTCATCATCTACTCATCCTTACCCACCAATTCCTCATGCTTCTCTAGTAGACTTGTGCTTTGACAGCAGGTCGTCGTAGTTCCTTGTCCATCCACTCAAAGTCTTATTGTAACCGTACAACACTTCTTCGACCTCCTCCATCATACCTTTTTTAACACTCTTCTCGACATCTAGCATCAACTAACTCCCCTAAACCCCCTCTTCGCAGAGACCTCTTCATCATTACAAACATCTTTGAATCAATTCGTTCTATATCTATCTGGTCAAATAATTACGAGAACGAGAAGTCGTTCTGATTGCTCCCAGCCCTTGAAACCTGAAACCTACGTCCTACTTTACCCTATCTCTGCCCGACATCACACGGAACGCATTTTGTCTATCATAAACGACGTCATATTGTATCTAGATGACCAACTGTCCTCGGCGATGGGATGAAATGTTTTGTCAAGTTGGGAAGGGCTCCAAAAATAGCCTCGAAATTATCGGCCTTTCATTGTCCCGGCTGCTGTCAGACATCTCTCTCTCTGCCCATCTCCAAGACCCTCACGTTGTCCTGATACTTCGTATTCAGTTCTTCGTAGTTCTCATTCCAACCTCTGCTCTCAATTCGTCTTCGCTCCTGTTAGCTATCCACTCTTCGTGCGACCATGCGGCCCAAAGCCCAAGCAAGATGGTGGATCTCGGCCACTTCTTGGGATCCAGGATGGAGGATATTATAATCGATGAGCATTCGCAAGTCGGGGAGGCCGACATGAGAAGGCCGGTTTGCTTGACAGCGGCATCTGCAGTAGGGCCAGATCGCATGGAGCAGCGGGTTCGTGCTACTTCCAGGATGCACACAGCACATGAGTGGTGCATCTTGGTACGCAGACGCTGTGTGATAGAATCAAGCGCAAGTGTGATTTGAAAACTGTCCTCAGGGATGGGGTGAAATGTTTTGTCATCATGAGAAGGGGCTCATAAACACCTCCCCGAATGCGCTGTCCCGCTGAGGTCGTTGCAAGACTTCTTCTCACAAAACCCAGAGATATTCACTAGCGGCGAGAAACATCTTCGGACCAACGTGGCGACGAATGAGATTCCGTAATCGTAATATGAAGGAAGAGAGGATGAACAAGGGAAGCTGTTGAAGAGGAGTAGCGTGGTGTCGAAGCGGATGAACAAGAGTAGCGAAGAAGGGTAGCGCGGCGTCAGACCTAGGGGATGGTCAAGGGGGCCGGATGAAGACGATGATTGTGTTAGAGTCTGACGCAAGGAGCAGCTCAGCTACAAAGGCCTGGGATCCCAGGGTTTATATGCCTATTTCGCCATGCACAACCGGGTTCCAATCTAGCCATTGGCCTGACTTTGGAGAATGGCCTCCTTCCTCAGTAGCGTCATGCTGCTTCCTATTACCAGCCATACACACCGTTTTGTGGAAATGCTGGAGGCGGCAGCCGCTCTTCGCTCTGGCAGCGCATGGAGCGACTGTTGCTAGGTAGAGAAGAGTGGATGATATTTCCCTACAGATAACCCCAACGTGGAATGTCTGGCAACCTTGACCTTTTCTACACCCTTGCGCTTGAACTCTGAGCCACTGAACTCTCATCAGAGCAGCCACACTGCCCGGGGACTCCTGCCATCCCAGAGCGATTGGTATGTCCTTGGTTGAATATCTGTACCAGTTCTACATATACCAAGGCTTCATGTGAGCCTCCTGTAATTTTCACCCTCGGCGCCTCCCTGGTGGTGATACCTAGGTATCATTGTATTAGTCATGACCACATTGCGGGTTCCGTTACATCATTCTTCAGCACCTTCCCAGGATCCTTCTCTCGAGAGTTGGTACCTAAGTGGCCAGCAGGTGTCGAGGCCCCTCCTGCTCGATTGCCCTTGGAGGTGTTCCGAGATTATCGACCAAGGAAGGTGCTCGTCAACCTGCTGTTCAGTTAGTAACCATTTACACGTCGCGTCTGTTCCCTTTGTAATACCGTTGTTTAGGCCGTGAAAGTGTTACAGTCAGCGAGTATTGCTTCAGTGTCAGTTCACTTCGCTTTTCTCATGCATCTTGTTCGAGATATGAGACCATAAAGACAGGCATGTCAACACATGTTGGTCCGATACAAAGTTCCAATTGTTTATTGGGAAAAAGGAATCGACTGTCGTCTGGATGTACCTACCTCCAGATTGGCCCTGGTTGATATTGAAATCGTCAGAAAGTGCAAGTGCGTGAAGAGAGGAAAGGGCTCGTCTCTTGGGAATTCTGCAAAGACGCAGTACATGTCTCGTGGGTGCTTGCTCACTCGGTAATTCTAGGTACCTACTCTTCTTCGAACTCCTTCTCCCTGTCATATTGTCATTTTCTTGTCCTCAAGATGGAAGCACTTTACTGTGTACTCTTCATCTTTCCAACGCCAGTTCTACAAGTACACAGTACCAGTACATAATATGGTCTCCCGTACAAACCTCAAGCCGTAGCCGCCCACGGCCCGACCCACGCATTAACAATGAGACCCCAACCCCACTGTGGTTCCCACTGTTCCCGCTGCACCCTCACGGAAAATCACTGCCCAAACCCAGGCAGGCACGTCAGCCGTGACAAAAGCGCCAACCTGCATCTTCAGTTCTTCCTCCTGCTTCTCTCTTCACCAGTCAAACCACCGCATCTGTCATCTAGGAACACTCCACCTCCGCAATAGGTGTCTATTAGCTCCGGCGCCTTCCCGTCCTTATTCTTATTTTTGGGTCTTTTTCCGTGGGCGGGGTAATGTCGATTCCATCGGCGCCTGCTGCGGGAGTTTCCTCCTTCAACACTTGAGCAATGGACTCGACCGGCCACACCAACAAAGCCAAAATGCAGTGTTTATGGTACAAGAAAGTTCTGTACAGTAGCGACTCAGGAACAGTACTAGAAAACATGTCGTCTCGACGCCTCCCGGGGGTGAAACACATCCAGTTCGCCGGTTAGGAGTGTGGTACCTAACGGTTGTTGGCGTGGGCGCTTCGCCCCTGTGGCTTTTCTTGCTAGTGGCTGTAGCCCGTTATTGGTCCAAGAGGCCGCGCTTCGTGTTTTCAAATCCCAAGTACGTCTTTGCTATCCGCCATGTAACCCTTCGACAACGACCCGGGGGGTGCGTGGACTCAGAGACCTTCGAGGGGCTTGGGGAGGGGGAGAGGGGGTGTGTAGATGCAAGTCTGGGAGAAACAAGAAGGCAACCAACATGGGTTCACCTCGTCGAGTCCGGGGTCCTCGAATCCCCAGTGGGCTACATAATGGGCGGTTCCGATAGTTCGGGTCGGGTGCTGACGTTGGTCCAGTCAGGTACCACCACGACGGGATTCTTGCTTTTGCTATGGGACTGGAAGATATATGAAAGTGTTCCCTCTCCCATGTCACGGTCCTGGAGTCTGGGGTTCTTCACCACTTTTTTTTTATTTCTTCTTGTCATTATTTGTTGATATCCTGTTCTCATTTCGTCTATTATTGTCTAAATTACGAGTCAACGGTTGAACGCTTTTGGATACGAGTAGCAGAGAGCAGAATACAAGATGGCTCCCAAAGATGGTGGCCCACTCAACTTGCTATCTCTCGGTAGGCTATCCATGGTAATGGACCTTGGATTACTGTATAGCTAACAATATGCCGAAACACGCAGATGGTGGAGGGATTCGCGGTGTGTCAGAACTGGTTATCCTTGACAGAATAATGAGGAAAGTCCAAGAAAGGGAGCTCCTGAGTGAGATTCCAAAGCCCTGTGATTATTTTCATCTCATTGGCGGTGTCAGTACTGGAGGGTAGGTGCCCCGACCCGAAGCTTCAATTTGACTTGACCCTGGACTAAATCATGTCATACAGTCTTGTTGCGATACTGCTCGGCAGACTCCAGCTGACCACCACCGAAGCACTGAAAGAGTACGACAGCTTTGCCAAGAAAATATTCTGCACCAGAAATCGAAGATTAAGTTTGGTGTCCAGATATGGCGAGGAAGCGCTCGAGCGAGCAGTCCACGAAGTTGTGCAAAAATGTAGGTCCAGCCCTTTGATGAAGGATCCCTCTGTGGACGAACGAGCGACCGGGAAAGCCTTTGTATGTGCCATGCCGAAGCAAAACCAGGGCGTTCCGCGCCGGATTCGCTCATACAACAGTGGTGACGACTGGGACAAGAACATCACCATCGTCCAGGCGGCACGGGCCACGTCGGCTGCTCCCACCTTCTTCAAACCTCTTGTCATAGAGAATGAGGGAGTCAAAGAGGAGCTGATTGATGCTGCAATGGGTGTCAACAATCCCGTAGCCGAGGTGCTAGACGAGGCAGGAATGCAATTTGACAACTCTTGCAAACTGGGCTGTTTCCTCAGTCTCGGCACCGGGACTCGGCCGAAGAATATGGAGTCCACCAGCGCAATCGGCCAGCTTGTGGATGTCGGAAAGCTGATGAAAGAAGTCACCACTGATTCGGAAGCGAGAAGAGAAGATATGGACAGGAAGTTCACAGATCATGAGTCGACCTACTTCCGCTTTAGCGTTCCTGACGCCGCGAGCAAGGTGAAGATGGAGGCGTACCAGGACATACCAAAGTTGAAAGCAATGACTGAGGAGTATCTGGAGACTGCGAAAGCCAAGGCAGACATTGAGAAAGTCGTGGATGTTTTGGTCAACAACAAGACGGAAAATGTGACCATCGGGCAAGCTTGTAAGTATTCAGTGGATATGGGACTGGACATAAGAGACTTACTGACAGATTGGCCCGTGCAGGCAAAATACTAAGGGTGCAAGTGCGCGAGTCGCAACCCCGAGGAACTGTCAGTCGATACTTCACCGGCAGAAAAGAAACTCTCGACAAGATGTCAGGATATTTCTTCCAGTCTGAAGATGCATCCAAACGATCGCGGTCCCTCGAGTTCTTGATCTGGGGAATGGGCGGTGCTGGGAAATCCCAGGTTGCTCTGAAATTCTACGAAGACCACAAAGACCGGTTCAAATACAAGTTCTGGGTCGATGCCACCACTCCTTACACTCTCAAGGAGGGGTACCAGAATATCGGCTTGGAGTTGTGGCCCCAAGAAGCCGTCGCCAATGACGCACTAGTCCTTCGAGTCATCAAGTGGATGGAGACCTTGAAGGACGATTGGCTGCTTATTCTTGACAACGTCGATCACCAAGACGGAGACTGGACCAACTATCTCCCGAGGAGCGGTCATGCCCACGTTATCTTCACCAGTCGTAAGAAGGACGTGAGGCCCGGTCTTCGCTCGGCCAACATCGCAGAAGTCAACGAGCTCAGTGAGGATAACGCAGTAACTCTCTTGCTTAGAGCCGCCGATAAAGACCATGACGACCAATCAATGAAAATTGCAGCACTGCCAATTGCTAGAGAGCTCGGATGTCTCCCTCTTGCTCTCGACCAAGCAGGAACATATCTCGGCCAAACCGGGGAGTCATTAGGGCGCTATCTCCAAGAATTTCAGGAAAGAAGGATAGAAAGAATGAAAAAGGTCACCCACAAGACAGAGGGAAGGAATGAGGCCGTCTTCACCACCTTTGACATCTCCTTCGATCAGATCAAGGCCTGGGCGAGAAACAAGGAAGGCCACATTCGAGCTCAACAAGCGCGGTCAGCCATCAAGATTCTCAACATCATCTGCTTCTACTACCACGAGAACTTGTCGGAAGAAATCTTCAAGCGAGCGGCCGAGTTCCGGTCACAGAGGGGATTCGACCCCCTTCGGGATGGTAGCCACTCGGTACAAGAGCTCATCACGGTCGACAACACCCAGAAATGGAACGACCGAACCCTGCGGGACGGAATGCTCCTTCTCGAATCCTTTTCTCTTCTCAAACCTTGTCGCCAACTACGAGGACCAGGAGCTGAGACCGCCCCACGGTCGTACTCGATGCACGTGCTCATCCACGGCTGGGCCAGGGACCGTTTGAGCAAGGCAGAGCAGAAGGTGTACTCGCTGTGGGCGCGGACGCTTTTGATTGGGTCAATCCCAACCTCCAAAACAAGTCCTGCGGCAGTCAAGTACAGGCGGCAGGTCCTTCCGCACGCCATGGCGTGTGAGACGCTAGTGAAGGAGCGAGAAGGTGATCGCGAGCTCGAAATGTTCATTCAGACAAAGCTCGCCACGATGGCGCAGGAGGGCAATGATTGGGAAAAGGCAGAGGGTATCTGGATCGATGCCATTCGCGACTTCAACATGGAGCACGCAGGTACCAATCACAACGAGTCGACCATTTCAGCCATGAAGTCTTTAGCAGAGCTGTATAGTGACCTCGGCCGATTCGGCGAGGCGGAGCGCTTACTGGTGGAAGCCAGAGATCGGCGAGTTGTAGAGATTAAGGATACTTGGCAACAATTACTGAATGAACATGAGGCTAAGAAGGAGGGAGAGAAGGGAGGGAAGAACGAGGAAAAGAAGAAAAGTGGGAAGAAAGAGGAGGCGAAGGGAGAGGAAGAGGGCGAGTTCTTCAACTACTTTACACTCGGTTCCGAAGAAATGGAGCTGTATCTCAATGCCGATGATGCCATCATCAAGATCGACGAAGCTCTGGCCAAGCTCTACCAGACAATGGGCCGGTTGTCGGACGCCGTCACTCTCCTACTGCAAATCATGAAATCGAGGAAGTGGAACGGAAGCCCTGAGCATCTCAAGAAGCTGGACGCAGATGTGGAACTCGCCCAGGCCTTGTTCAAAAAGAATGATGAGATGGATATAAAGTTCAACGAGGAAGTAGCCAGACAAATGGCCGATCCGGAGCGGACCCACCGCTTTCTCAAATACGAAAGTCTCTGTCGTCCACAGCCAAAGAAGATCGCCACGGCGGAGGACGAAAAAGACAATGCAACAGCAGCAGCAGCAGTGCAACCTCTTCCTCCCCAGACACCCGTCGAAGAAGACGAACCCCCGCACATCCCCGACGCCCTCCGCAAGGACGAAGCCAAACTATGGGCCTACTACGACAACGCCGTCGACTTCCACGGCGCCAACTCGGAAAAAGCATGCAACATCATGCGCGCCCTCGCCGGCAACATGCTCGCTCAGCAGCGGCCCGAATGCGCGCGCATCATCGTCAGCGAGGTGCACAAGCGCACCATGGAACGTCTCGGCCCGCACCATTACCGCGTATCCGAGCAAGTCAGCGAGATGGCCCACATCTTTATCCAGAACGGCGACATCCCCTCCGCCGTGACGGCGCTGATGGTGCCGGCCATCAACATCTGCGACACGCTGGGCGTCGAGAGCTATAATAGCCGCAGGATCATGGTTATGCTGCATGACCTGCTGGACGTGTACGAGCAGCAGCAGAACATCAAGGGCAAGGACAAGGAGCAGGAGGAGGAAGATATGTGGGAGCGGTTACTGGCGCTGACGAAGAATTACTGTAATACCTGGTGTCAGCATCATGATATGCACAGGGAGCTGAGGCGTAGGTTGGGCCCGTCGCAGGACGCGTTGATGGCGGCTAGGCTGTCGCAGTATCGGAGCAAGAAGGCGTGGCAGAATAGGGAGGCGAGGAGAGAGCTTTTTAAAGAGTTGTTGGTCCGTCCGGAACCGTTTTATGAAGAGCTGAGGGAGTCGGTGGGCTTGGGAACGGGGTTAGAACAGGGGCCGAGATCGGATTAGTTGTTCGTGATGGGCTTTCGTTTGGTGGACGGCTGGGGCCGCTGTCGATTTCGGGTTATGATCATGACGTTTGGGTTGAGGTTTGTTTTTGCTGTATACCTACATACTACCTCTAGGGACAGGCGTTTGGATCAAGCGGGAAATGTTTGGATTCACAATTGCATGGCATTTACCCTTGTTCGCTAGGTATGCTGAATGTCATGCCATACAAGTACACGCCTGGGAAGTCTCACTTGAATGGAACCGTTGTAGATCTTCCGCAGTTTTTTTGACAGCACACCTCGATGCCTTTTCCAGATCAACATAAGGCCTACTATAATAGCACAATTATATACCAACCAGACACCTACAGTATGCTGTTTACGGCCAAGTTGTTGGAAACAATCAAAACGACGAGAGGGTAAAACTGGAGAAAAATAAAAACAAGAGAAGAAAAAAAGGTTGCCCGAACGTGCCCAAGGACATATTCGAACGCCGTTGCTTCTACTGTGTAGATAAGAGGGCAGTTACGGGACCGTAAAGTGGCGCGCTTCACCTCTGTCGACTACGCTGTCTTAGGTACCCAGGCCGTTTGTTATGAGTGTACCACCTTTCGATTCCAAACCTCAAGTAAGGAGTGCACTCGCGCAGACAGGCAAGCAGGGAGAAACTGAAGCCCAAGTCAAAGGGAGGAACCCAATTCAGTTTTGCGCTGGGGCTGGCCATGATGTGAGTTTGGAATTTGCAACACCGGTGAGGAGTCCGTATATTCAGAATGTATTCACGGTCGGGAACCACGTTGAGGTCAAGGACGTGGATGACATCGAGATCAAGATGAGCTTGTGGGTGAGGACGGGTCATAGGCCCAAAAGATTCAAGGTTGGGTCGGTGGTTGTCTCGCCGTCGGCATTTTCTGTGCTTGGTTGACCATCGTGTTAGATATTTGAGTAGATCAATCAGTAAACAATATATACAAGTGAGAATGGACGGGTAAAACTACGCAAACTGAAGATGGTTTACAAAGTGAAAGTGAAGGTGATGTTTACAGTTGACGTTGGCAGCGACAGTGACAGATGCGAGTCCCCACCAAGTGCCAAGTGACCGCCGGCCAGCTGTAATCTCACCCGTCTGGATCCACCCTTCACTTTCATCACACATTTCATCCAATCACATCTCGCCAGCCGTTTTTCTTTTGCACGCCCATATGTACATTTCCCAGCATAACTCACCCCATCCACGCTTCTCACTTCATCCTCCAATTCTCACCAGCTCTTGATCCCGTTAACCCCCGCCACCTCTCAAAATGTCACGCAAAAGAAAAGCCGAATCCGGCGAAGTCCTCAAAATCGGTAACAAAACCATCTCCCTCGAAGGCTACCTCACCAAGAAACCAAAAACTGCCAGCACCCCTTCAACCTCGACATCAGACAACAACACCCCAGCACCATCAACCGAAAATGATACAACGACAACAACAGACCCCAAGGAATTCAAGCCTTCCCGCCCTCTCACAGGAGACCCCTCCCTTTTTGCCACCCGCCGCGCCCTCCCGCTCTACCTCTACCAAGACCGGATCCGCTCCATCCTCTCCAAAAAGGACGTGCTAGTGCTCGTCGGTGAAACCGGTTCGGGTAAATCTACCCAGGTCCCGCAGTTCTTGTATCAGGAGCGGTGGTGTCAGCGACGAAGAGTCAAGGTCAAGACCAAGGTGTTGGATAAAGATGGGAACGAGGTTCTTGAGGAGGGTGGTAAAGCAAAGACGAGGGAAGAGACGGTCAACGTTGGAGGAGTCATTGCGATTACCCAGCCGAGAAGGGTAGCTGCTACTACGCTTGCGGGACGTGTGGCGAAGGAGTGCGGGACGCCGTTGGATACGAGTGGGAGGGGGACAGGGTTCAAGGGACGGGGACCGAAAGGGAAGGATGGAAAGGGGCCAAAGGGTGGGAAGGAGGGAGAGGAGTGGGATGAGGAGAAGGATGTAGTGGAGGAGATGGGGAAGAGTAATGGTGGTGATGAAGAGGTGGTTGAGGAGAATGGGAATGAGAAGAAGGATAGGAAAGACCAGGAGAAGGGCCTGGTTGGTTACTCAGTCCGTTTCGATCATCGAGTACCGCCGGGGACGAAGATCAAGTACGTTACGGAGGGTATGTTGCTGCAGGAACTGTTGAGGGATCCGCATCTACGACAATACTCGGCCATCATTGTGGACGAAATCCACGAGCGCAGTGTGGATGTCGATTTGCTGTCTGGGTTCCTCAAGCAGATTGTTACGGGCGACAAGGCCGGTCGTGGAGGGATCCCGCTCAAGGTGGTAGTCATGAGTGCTACCGCACAGGTCGAAAGAATCAAGAAGTTCTTTTCTAGCGACGACAGTCTTAAGAAGGGGACATCCGGGGAGGAAGTGGAATACCTCGAGATTGAAGGCCGACAGTTCCCCGTCGAAGTCATCCACGAGCCCAAACCCGTTCCAGACATCCAGGAGGCACTCCTCAAAACGGTCTTCAAGATCCACACCCAAGAGCCGCTCTCCGATAAACACGGCAAGAAGGACATCCTGTGCTTCCTCACCGGCCAAGAAGAAATCGAAGCCGCCCAGCGCCTAATCGAAGAATTCGCCGAAACCCTCGACCCCAAAGTGCCCAAAGTCAAAGTCTTCCCCCTCTTCGGCCAGCTCTCCATGGAAGCCCAGCACGAAGCCTTCCAGCCCATCAAGCATCCCTTCACGCGCAAGATCGTGCTAGCCACCAACATTGCCGAAACCTCCGTCACCGTCCCCGGCGTGCGCTACGTCGTCGACTGCGGCAAAGCCAAAGTCAAACAATACCGTCCCCGTCTCGGCATGGAATCGCTGCTCGCAAAACCCATCTCCAAGTCCTCCGCCATCCAACGCACCGGTCGTGCCGGCCGTGAAGGCCCCGGTAAATGCTTCCGTCTCTACACAGCCGACACCTTCGCCACTCTCCAAAAAACAGACCTCCCCGAGATTCTGCGGACAGACGTCCTCGGCGCCGTCTTGACAATGAAAGCCCGCGGCATCGACGACGTGCTTTCCTTCCCGTTGATGGACCGGCCGGAAATCGACGCCGTCGAAAACGCTCTCGTGCACTTACATGTGCTTGGCGCGCTAGGCGACGACGGCCGCATCACCGACACAGGCCGCAAAATGGTTTTGTTCCCCGTCACTGCGCCCTACGCGCGCGTCCTGCTCGCGGCCGCTGACCCGCGCTATGACTGCCTGCTGGAAACCATCGACATCATCTCGTGCATAACCGCAGGCGACGACATCTTCATGCAAGTCCGCTCGGAAGAAGACAAGGAAGCCGTGGACGTGTACAGGAAAGAACTCCAGCGTCGCGAGGGCGACTTGATCACGTACCTGAATACCATGCAACGCTTCGTTTCCACCCCCTCTGCCGACCGTGGGACGTTCTGCAAACAACGCCGGATTAATGTGCGGAATATGCGACAGGCGCTGAATATCAGGAAACAACTCCGGTCGCTGTCGGTCAAGAATAAGATGCTGGCGGAGTTCCCGATGCCGGATGCGGAGGTGACGTACCAGCCTGTGTCGCCGGAGACGGCAGAGAGGATCCTCAAGGCGTTCTTGAAGGGGTTCGCGATGAAGACGGCCGTGCTAGCGCCCGATGCGAGTTATGTGACTGCCCATGGGAAACATGTGGTTGCTATTCACCCGAGTAGTAGTTTGCATGGGGTCAAGAGGGAGGCTATCATGTTCCTGGAGCATGTGTATACGCAAAAGAATTATGCAAAGAAGGTGAGCGCCATTCAGGCGGGGTGGATTGCGGAGGCGTTGGCTGCCTAACCTGAACGTGTGTTCTCGTGGGTGGCGGGGTTTAATATGGCCAGAGATGTGGATGGTGGCAGAGAAGGTGTGAGGTATAGATACCCTAGATAGAGGTGCTGAATGCATGTACTTGAAGTCTATACTGAATATTATATCTGTTCATCACTGAACATATTCCACGGTGAAAATGGCCGGTTGACGATTTGTTTACATCGTGATGCTCTCCTTGGTGTTGTCTTCCCATTTTGTTGTCTTCGAAAGAAAGAAGTGGATCCAGACCCACCGACCTCCGGTCTTGGCACTTGTCATCACCAAGCGCTCTCCAACCGTCGTTCGGCAAATCCGGCATTCCGCCCGGACCGTCACTCAACGCCGTTCATTGCAGTGAGTGTATCAGCCGCCCCGTCTCCGTCGCCGCGCCCATCAACCACCATCACCACCAGCTTCATCTCCCTCCCCCCCTTTTTCTCCCCCCCATTCCCCCTCCTCCCCCGTCTTTCCTCCACTTCTTTTCTCTTTCATCTTTCTCTACCCTTTTTTTCACTGGCCATCCACCCCAAAACAAAATCGAAAAGGAAAATTTCAGAATGTACGCCCTCGCCCCAACCCTCCGCCGCTCCGCCGCAGCCCTCACCCACTCCAAAAACCACGGCATGACGCCCGGCCCGCTCGCTCTCCTACCGCCCATTTATCTTTATCGACGACTCCTTCGCGCGCACAGAAAACACTTGCCGCGCGAGATGCGGCTGTTGGGGGATGAGTATGTCAAGGCCGAGTTTCGGGCGCATCGGAGTGTGGATAATCCGGCGCATTTGGTGAGTTTTTTTTCTGCATTTCTTTGTTTTTATACATTTGAGGTTCTGGATGTGGGGTGGGATGGGCTGTGGGATGGGATGTTTGGAGGGGGTGGATGGGATGGGATGGATGGATGGGATGTTGGGGAGGGATACAGTGGGATGGGATGGGGTGCGACGTGGAGGGTCAAAGGGAGGGGCCAAGGTGAGGGTTGAGAAGGTAGTAATAAGGGGCGTGGGGGAAGGTATTGGGACGTTGGAAGTGAGGAGTGGGAAGGAAGTGGCAAGTGAAGTGAAGGTGAAGAAGCTCCAAGGGATGATGAAAAGGTGGTGAAGTGACTGATGAAGTACCCAACGCAAACCAGAGGGGAAAAGAGGGGGAAGTGAAGATTGCGGAGGTTATGCACTGGAAATTCCTGGTGGGAGCATATGACAGGGACTGAAAAGGAGGGCGATAAAGCGAGAGAAAGTGATGGAAGTGAGGAAAATGGGAGCGGTGATACAGCCGATGGGAAATGAAGACCGAACAGCAAGGGATGAGATTTGTCGGAATACGAGGGCCGAACTGGAAAAACAAATACCGAAAGCCTGGGGTAAACGGAGGAAGCTACGGCAGGAGAATGACAACGGAGTACGCTTAAGAGAGCAACTCGGTTGAACGGCATGAAGGAAAGGGATGAAAAGGAGGACAGCGTCGACAGCAGACTGGAACCGTGGTCATTGAGCAGGAGCAAATTCTCTTCAAAAGCATAGACTAACACAAACACCCACCTCACAGATCGGCTTTTTAACAGAGTGGCAACTCTACGCCCAAAAAATCGAAGGAAACTCGTGGGTAGGCGAGAAGTTGGACAAGGGCAAGGTTGAAAAGATGAGCGGTGCGTATCCCTCCCTTTTCCCCTTTCCTCATGTTCAGTCACTAACATAACATGACAGACGAGCAAATCGGTCAACTATACGAACTCATGCAAGCCATCCAAAAGCGCGGAACCGAAGGGGATCTTGAGGACGGTGACGGTGGAGAGTCCGGTCAAAAGTCGCAATGATCACTATAATAAAAGGGTGTATTTTGATAAGTGTATGGCTTGTTTCTGTTCTTTGTGTTAAGTATTTGTACAACTAAGCTATCTAAATCAAACGCTTATGAGGAACTCTCAAGTACACGAAATGTCTGCGACAAGACAACCCCTGGAAGACAAATTCGCTCAATAGTCAAAGAATGTACTCTTTCTCCCAAAAAGTAACCACCATCTCTACCTTGACCTGTCCCTCTTTTCGGAACACCCTCCTTCCTGCCTTTGCAATGACCAGCCCTCGAGGACTGGGACCGCTCTGTCCTAGAAATTGACGGCGACGGAGGCTCTGTAAAAAATGGAAAGCCTTTTTCGAACGCGGGAGGAGGGAATTGGTGTGATCGATCGTGCAGAGCCATGGGGGTTTGTCATCCTCAGAAAATCGTAGTTCTAAAGGCAGTGGTTTGGAAAATCTAGGGTCCAGTCCCCACATCTCAAGCCAGCCGAGCACGGCGGGAAGGACGGTATAGCTAGCGACGGGGAGAATGGGGATCGACGAGAGATCCGGTGCAGTTGAGTTGATGAGCCTGTGGGATCGTGGTTGATTAGCTGGGGTCTTATCTCTTATGTTGCTGTCAATCGTAAGAAGCCATGTTGGAACAAAAAAGGAGGGACCGAGTACGTGCCCGAATAAAAGGTCAGTGAAAGCTCTCATGCCCGTCATTCTGCTGTCTTTGTCATCCTCGAGGCAGATGATGATTACCGGCCTGGGGGACCGTTGCCTGTTGGCACGGAAGGCTTGATCGGCAACTACAATCCGTTCAAGTGAATGCTTGAGCCGAGTTTCTGCGGAAAGTAAAAAGATGGAGAAAACCCGATAGTCGCTTTGTTTAGGCTGAGAGGGCTCTCGAAAAGAGTAATCGCTGTCTTTAGGGCCCTGAAGGCCGATGTCGTGAAATATGTCATCGGTCTCTGTGAAGCTTGTGAGTACCACTGGTTGATGGTCGCTAATGTGAAGACTGAATACCTACGTTCCTAGCGTTCTCCGTGGACAGCAAGGACCTGTTTCATGGCCTCGTGCCATTCCGTTTTCATTCGACCGTACGCGCCAAACACGTGCTTGAGCTGATGGGCTGTCTTCACATTCGGCTTGGACGCGATCTTGGAGTCTGTGGGGGTACTGGTAGGTGCGGACGATGGCTTAGTCGGTGGGACGGAGCTCTTGTCATCGGCCACAGCTTGCGCAGGTTGCTCCTGTGGGGGTTCCTCCGACTTGGACGATATGCTAGTTGGGTTTGTAGCAGAGTGATCTGATGAGTCCGACTGCTCTGCCGAGTCAGACACCTCTACCTCTAATATAGTTGGTAACTTGCTATCGAAAGACATTGTGGAGATGGAAAAGAAAAGAGTAAGATAGAGCGAGAGTTGGTGATGGGAAGAGGGTGAGATGAAGAGTGGTGTGGTTTGTTATCCAATGAAAAGGGTATCGTCTAGCTTTAAGTACTGTAGGTATCTGGTATGCTGTTAAGATGCTCCTCCTGTATTGTAGTCCGCCGTGCCTGCCGTGTCAGTTGTGATGAGAAACTGCTGGATGTTTCCAAGGCCCTTTGGTTGTCGCTCCGCCCTTGGATCGGCCGTGTTGCCTGGAGCGCAAGAGGATCCGGGTACGTCTTTCTTTATAGCCCGTCCCTCACCATCGAGGGTCACAAGTCGTACTTAGAAGCCCAACTTCCCGGTCAGTCCCGAGAATACCCTCGTAAGAACAAAGCCCTCGTCCGACTCATCTGCAGAGCCTGCCACTGACGGCGGATAGATGGGCTTCTTGGTCCTTGGGTCCTTGTATGCCCTCAGCGCATCCTCAATAGCCTGCAACCTCGCTTGCCTCTCCTCGTCCCTCTTGAAGAACTCGTCTTCCCTCTTCTTTCCCTCCTCCAACTGCTTCTCCAAATCCTTTATCCTCTGCACGTTCGGATCGGGCTTTGACGAGGACCGATAGTACTCGTAGAGCAGCAGGGCGCTGGCAATGGTCAAGATAAAGGCGTCCCCAATGACATCGGCAAACAGGTCGACGGCCTTGGGCTCGGGCAAGGGCCTGAACTTGCGCTTCCATATGCTCTTGGGCGGCTCCCTGACGGCATGCGACTCCTTTGGGATGACGCCGTACTTGGCTTTGAGTTCCAACTCTTTGCGCACTTGCTCTTCAGTCTTGACGGTGGGCGCCTCGGCTTTCTCTTTGGCTTCCTTTGCGCGCAGCTCGGCGTCGGAGTTTCGAAGGGCGAGGACGGACAGGCGCATGTTGAGCTGGTGCATCATCTGGCCATACTTGGCGGCGAAGGCGCGGAATTTGGGGTGTTCATGGGCTTGGTGCTTGATGTGGTTCTGGGTGAAGAAGAAGAGGAAGCATGTCAGGCTACTTGGTTACCCATGACAAGGAGAAGGGAAGGATAGAGGGAGGACATACGGCGCCATACTTGGAGATATGCCGCACAAAGAGGGCGGCAAGCTTAAAGAGAGGAAGGGAGACCATGGTGATGTCTGGGGTGAGACCTAACCTCTAACCAGGGAAAACCGCTGGTCGGTCGTTGCCGCCGTTGGTGGTGGGTGAGTTGGCGATGCCGAGGTTCCACGAATTGGGACGAATTGGGAGTTTGGCCAAGGAGCCAACGAGTGGAAGAGGTTGTTTGCCAAGTGATGGCTGTTGGCCAAGTTCACAGAAAAACCTGGAGTAGGTCACAATGGTTTCTATACTACCTACAGGCGCATGTGACGAGACATTGAAGGAGAGTGCCGGGTAGGTTAATCTCTAAAGTTCGGATGACGGACAATTCCTGCATCCCAGGGCTTCCGTCATCCTCCATATCGATAAGCTCCATTGACTCCAGGCTGTGACAAGCAGCTGCCTGATTGGATTGCCCGATTGGCGTGAACAGCACCCTACCGCCCTAACGTCGAGTCAAGGTGCCGCTAACCAGCCAGCTCAGCACCTGCACCCCACTGAACCGGGCGAGTCAGACCCCCTGGTCCGTCTGTGGGCGCCCTGCGGTGCTGGCTTGGCAAGCGACAGTGGAGGTTCGGGTTCCATCAGGTCCCGTCCCTTTGGCTGCAGTGGGCTGCCCTGGCTGGAGAGGGTCCCCGCCGTTGCCCTGGCGACTTGACTGGCAAAGGGACAAACAAAACGAAAGGTCTCGAGCTCCATGCTTGCTTGCCAATTTTGGACGGTGGATTCATTCCAAAGCAACAACCAGCTCCCGTTTTGCATGAATTCAACAACACAACGATCTGAACTCAGCGTCCTTCTTTTCCACTTTCCACCTTCCCTTGACCTCTCCACTTTTGCAACAAAGTCGTCACCATCCTGGTTTGATTTATTTGCAAGGTACCAAGTGGATGAATTACTACCGACCTTCGTTTTCGTCGTCACCAATTATTCCCTCCCAGCGCGACACCCGAGTCAATCCGCGCTGAAATATCATCAATCGACGACAAACATCTTCATGATACTGCCTGGCTTAGTTTACCTCTACATACGTCGGATCCCAGGCCGCCGAGCAGTGCTTGGCCATCACTAGTCCGTCCCACTGTGAGTTTTTGCTTCTTCCAAACAGACAATTGGCGCTTCCTAGGTCTTCTTCCCTTCGTTTCCACTCTGTTGTGTCTCTAACCAAGGTGGAACCTCCACTCCTTAGACCTTTCAGACAATTCACAGCATTGAATGACCCGACGAACAGGACGAGACTCCCCGCCAACGACCCCGACGTCAAACTCGACGACTTCCTAATAATACATAGCCGATCGATCGACCTGTGATCCTCGAGGCGCTCGAGAAAGTCGTGGGAATGAGAGGTGTCGGTATGGACGCCCTATACCCCAGAGATGTTAACGCCCCGGCGAGACCGAGAGCCCATGAGCTAAAGTCCAAGGCAGCTGCTGGGCTCAAGGCTTCCAAGGACAAAGACCACCCGCCGCCCCCGCCGAACCATGTCAACGAACCCCCCAGCTCCGACCGCAAAGAGGGCGCCATCTACCAGGTCGGCAAGCCCCTAGGAAAGGGCGGCTTCGCTATCTGCTACGACGGCAAGCTGATCGGAAGCTCCAAGCGATATGCCCTCAAGATCGTCAAGGCCCAGATGGCCTCCAAAATGGAGCAGAAATTCCAGACCGAGCTCCAGATCCACTCCAAAATGCGACATGTGAACATTGTCCAGTTCCACCGCGCCTTTACCTTTGAAAACTGCACCTATCTGGTTCTCGAACTATGCTCCAATGGCTCTCTCATGGACATGGTCAAGCGCCGCAAAGGCTTGACAGAACCCGAGGTGCGCTTCTACACCGTCCAGATTGCTGGCGCCATCAAGTACATGCACGCCAAGGGCATCATCCACCGCGATCTCAAGATGGGCAACATCTTTCTCGACAAGTACATGAACGCCAAGATTGGTGACTTTGGCCTGGCTGCCTTGCTCCTCACCGGGAAGGATATGCAGATCATGAGGAGGACGACCCTATGCGGAACACCCAACTACATTGCACCCGAGATTCTCGAAAAGGGAAAGAAGGGCCATGACCACATGGTGGACATTTGGAGTCTGGGTATTATAGTCTACGCTATGCTCACCTCGAAACCACCTTTCCAGTCTTCAACCACCGACGAAATCTACCGCCGCGCGAGAGAACGTGATTACGAGTGGCCGTCGCCCGATGCTACACAAAAGTACTACAGTCTGGAGGCCAAGGATCTTGTTGCAAGCATGCTGCAAGACGCAGACATGAGACCGGATCCTGACACCATCGTCTCTCATCCCTTCTTTACCTCTGGCTACATGCCCGTTCCTTCCGACATTTCGTCCAGACTCCGAGATTCCCCACCACAGAATCCTGCCTTTTACGATCCTCTGTCCGGTCCCCAAGCGGAAGCAGACAACCTCCGCAATGTGCAAGAGATGTGCAAGGAGTGCAGTGTGGGTCCATGGTGCACACAGCAGTTTGTCTTCAAGAACATTTGGCGAGAGATGGCAGAGGAGGAGGCAAACGGCCTTACCCCTGTTATTCCGCTCGCCGAGGGTATCGTTTACAGGCCCTACGACGAGATCAAGACCGAGGCAAGACGTCGGGCTCGTCTATTACAGCAGCAGCAAGCCGAACAGCAAGCCTCCAAGCTGACATTGTCACAACAACCCCAGAAGCGCGTCCCGTTGGCGGACATCGGCGGAAGCAGGATGGAGGGAGTAATACATTCACAACCTCAAAAGCCGGTTGTGGATGACCTGAGCAACAGTCTCGCCCAGGCGAGCATCGCTAACAGGGGCACCACAGGACTTCTCCGTGTCCCACCCCAGAGTTTTGCGGCTCAACAAAGGGCCCAAGGCCGCCCTCTCGCTACGGTCAGCAGCTTAGGTCGGTCGCAGACAGTTCCAGAGCCGGCGCTCAGAAGTGCTAGCTCTACTTCGTTACGCACCCGGTCCAGCAGGCGGGAAGTGCCCGAGACCGCTCCTGATGCATTAGGATCCCAGCCAATTCGACCCACGACCCGTAGCACTCGCAGCTACCCAACAACCAGAAGCCAGGCCGCGGTGTTGCCAGCTGAAGAGCCCGCTCCTATCCAGCGGAGTGTACCAATCTCGACATCGCAAAAGCCTCAAGAGGACAAGCTGAGTCTCTTCAGTCCTGCCGAGTATCAAGAGGCAGTACCAGGGACGCAGCCTGACATCGTCCTTGAGAGGCTTCGCAGACTGCAGGCAGAGCTGGAACGGGCATTGAACGCCCGCTCAATGGCTCTTGTGTCGTCCCGGGACAAGACTCCATCACCTCCTCACATCGTAGTTAAGTGGGTTGATTACACCAACAAGTTTGGTTTGGGCTACATCTTGAATGATGGCAGTGTCGGTTGCATTCTTCGTAGCATCCCTACCCAGGAGGGTAGCCGAAGTGGTTTGCTACCACCTGCTTGCGTGCTCGTCCATGGTGCTGAACGTCACTGCCAGCGCAGAGACGACCCTAGATACCCAGACAGGCACCAAATCCTGCCCCAAAACGAGGGCGTATACTTTTACGAAAACAACGGCGAAGACGGCATCAATCGTGTTCGGGTCTCGCCCCAGAACTTCCATATCCCAGTCAACCCCGATGGCACTACGGGTAAGCTTACGGCGGGCAAGGATATCTACGACCACCGAAAGAGGGAGCGGATTGTGTTGTGGAAGAAGTTTGCCAATTACATGATTCAGTATGGCCGAGAGTCGGACAATCAGGATGATGCGCCAATTCGGATGCCGACCATCACGGACCCTACTGTTGCGCCGAGTGATGTCGTGACGTTTTACCAGAGGTTCGGTGACGTTGGGTGCTGGATGTTTTGCGATGGTCATTTCCAGGTATGTTGCCCTCCCCTTTCCTCTTTTGCTGAGATCCAGCTAACAAAATAAACAGTTCAACTTCCCCGACCATACCAAAATCGTCCTCGACTCCACTGGCACCTTCTGCCACTTCTGGCACCTCCCCGAGTCCGCCGCCACTCACCTCTCCATAACAGGCTCCCTCTCCGAATCCGCCCTCGACGAGCGTTCCGTCCTTTCCTACCCCTTACAAACCCTCCTCAACTTTTCGTCCCCTTCCCGCTCTACCATCACCAGTACCTCCACCTCCCGTCGCCGCCCCGAAATCCCCGCTGCATTGCAAAACATTCCCTCCGCCAACCAGTTCCGCGAGAAGATCACGTTCATCCGAGACGTAATCAAGGAGTGGTCCGCCAACGGAGGACTGGGAAACAGTGACATGTCACGCGAGAAGAGAATAAGGTGGACGGGCTGCAGAGAGACGAGGAACGCCACGGGCCCGATGAAGCATGTCTGGGTGACGATTGGAGCAAGGTGGGGTGATTCAAGACTCAGTGCGTATGTGGATCCGAGGAGGCCCGACGAGTTGGGGGAGGAAGTCGATGAGAACGCGAAGAAGAGGTGAACCCCATGACATGATAAGGGGTATGGTGGGTGATAGGCTGGAGAGGATGATTGGCAGAAAAGAGGAGAATGGTGGCTTATCTGTTCAAGGGACGGGGAGGGAAACAAAAAGAACAAAAAAAAAAACAGGAGATGGCAGTATACCCACGACGACGCAACGTACGTACGTACGCATGAATTCACGCATGCATCATCTCGCCTTTTTTCCATGGGGGCGTATCTTTATTACTTTTTATAAAGGGGGGGGCGGCGTTGTCTTTTTTTTTTCTCTTCTTCTTCTTCTTTTCCTATCACTATCTAGTTCTAGGTATGGACGGGGGGAGGTTTCCATTGTCGGAGTAACTTGTACCGGACTCTCACTGGTTCTGGTCGGTGGTATGGAAGTGGCATCCATCACGTATAAGGGAAGTCAGCGTTCGGCCTTTGATTGGAGCCTGTCTGGAATGTTTCGAGTGTTTGTAGAAAAGGTACAATGTACATATTATGATTTGATCAACTCTTTCTACTAGTTGTGGTCTTTGGTGTCTTTCTTGTCTTGAGAAGTAGGTGATGAACAATCCAATGAGCAATGCTGAAGAGTGAAGAGAGAAGAGAGAAGAGAGACTTATCGTAGCCAATGTCAAGTCAAAGCACAGTGAAAGCGAACTGGTGGTGAAGTTCCTACAAGTGATTACTCTTCTCGCCTGTTTTCTTACCTCAGGTTCCACTGAAACCCTAACCTACAGTAAGTAGTAAGTCTCATATGATGGTAGGTAGCCAAAGAGAAACAATAAGCAACTCTTTATTAAAAAAAAAAAGAATAGTCACCCGGCAACTACCTAATACATGGATAAAAGTCTCTCTCATACCCCCCTTTCTCCCTTTCTTCTTCTATTCACAAAGTTCGTCACACGCTAAAGAAAGGAATACTCTGCGTATGGATTGATTTTGTATTATTCATTCATTGGTGTATCTGCCTGCCTGCCTACTAGAACAAAGCCCCCCCTCCAAAAATAAGAGTCATGTACGTATCATATCGTCCATTTCTGTTTCATCTTCTCTCATGCTCGTAGGGTATTGATGTTGGTATCTGTAAAGCCAGGGATTCCCACAAACCAGAAAGCTGTGAAAGTCAGACAAACTTTCCTCGTTTCGAAGAACGAAATTCCCTCTCTACAGGCCAAGGACCCCTTTTTCTCCTATTCCTTGAGGCTCTGTTATTCAAAGGTAGGACTTCTCCAACATGGGGTCCAGGAGCAGTTGGGTCGACATCCCTCCTCCTCCTCGAAGAAGTGAAATAAAAACAAAAACGAAAACAGCAGGTGATATCAAGTGCGAGAAAACAAAATGACGACAGTATACTAAACGAAAACCCTCAAGTTCCCACTCTTCTCCTTCACAAACAGGACCACTTAGAAGTCCCAAAAGTTGTCAGACTTCAAGGTCTGCTTCTTGCCGGGATTTCGGTTTTGAAGGTGCAGGTCCTGAGGTTCCTCCTCCTCAGTAAGCCAGTTACGCTGCGTTCCCTTCTTGCCGCCCATGCCATCTCCGGCGATAGTGATGCCCTTGTTGACAGCGGTGCTAGCCTCAAATCCCTTTCTGCTGCCCATACCATCACCTGCAATGGTAATGCCCGTGTTGGAATTCTCCTTTCTTTGTACGGGTGATTCGTTCTCGATGGACCAGTGACTTTCCAGTCCACGTTGGGCCGCTTGGCGATTCTCGCTGGCCTTGGAGCGACCGTTGGCACCCTTCTCAGCCTGAGGGGATTCGTCCGAGATCTCAAAGTGAGGCTCAAAGTGCTTCTCCCTGTTTTTGGCGTTGGTGATGTTGCTCAGCGCACGAGGCGCAGGTGATGGCGCACTACCATCAGCCTTAATGAGGTCGTCGTCATACAAGTGCGAGGCTGCGTTTGTGCCAGCGCCGCGGTTGCTCTTCCCAACCGGCGATGGAGCACTGCCATCAGCTTTCAAGAGGTTGTCGTCATACAAGTGCGAGGCTGTGTTTGTGCCAGCGCCGCGGTTGTTCTTCTGAATCTCGGGAGATGGGCCGTCGTTGCCAACACTGAAGTGAGTCTCGTCATCACGGCGCAGCTTACGCGGTGGTGCCTTGTTTTGCGGAGTCGAAGGGCCTTGGTAATCTTCGTCGTCAACGCTGCCAAGGAAACTTTTGACAATGGTACGGGTAGGAGCTGGCCTCTCGGGGGAGGTAAAGTCATCGAAAGACCACTGGCTGTCATGCTTGGTCTTGGGCTTCTTGTCGAAGGGAACACCAGGCTGGGGTGCGTCGGCGGGATCGGAACCGTCGGCAAAGTCGAAGTGCTTGTACTTTGTCGGATCGGGCTTCACCTTGCGCTGAACCGAGTAGATTGACTGAGGTGTATCGGGTACTTCGGGCATATTCTCGTCAGTCTCGAAGAGACGGATAGGCTGGAAGTGCTTTGCGGCACCAGCCTTAGGGGCAACGCCGGGAGTCATTGAACGACTCCGGTCAGTAGTGGGCGAGGTGGGGTCCTCAACTGGCTCATCTCCAAGAATCTCCTCAAAGGTGCGTTGGCGTGGCTTGCTTCCAGCATAGGGAGAGACAACGGGCTCTGGTGGGGTTGCGACCTCTTCACGAGAAGCGAACAGAGAAAGCGACGCATGGGGATCGCGCATGGCGTTGGTGACCTTGGGACGGGTGCTCGTGGAGCCTTGGTTGTCGGTAGCGGGCGTGCCACCTTCCTTGATGCATCTTGTGATGAGGCTGATCTGATCCTTGCTGTCGCGAATTGGCCAGTTGCGACCGGACCTACCAATAACCTCGACTTGCTTAAGAAGCGAGCCTTGGTCCCAGCTCTGTCGGATTTGTGTAATCTTGCCGTCGCCGTTGAAGGTTACGATGTGGAACTGTCAAGCCGCGGGGTTAGCACTTGGCTGAAATTTATGAGGGGGAAGTTTGGGTAACTGACAATAGTAAAGTTGACCTTGCGATCGGCAACGTAGTTATCTTCCAGACCAGGGAGGTAGGGGCCTCCGGTAATGAGGAATTCGAGGGAGGTGTTGACTTCCAGGGCGAGGGCATCTTGGCCTTCAATGGCATATAGAACAGTCTCCTTCTCCTTCTTCACCTGGTTGGCAACGGTCGAGAGATGCTTGGTGATGTTGGATGCGCCGGCAACGCTGGTGGTGGTTGTGATGTAGTGTAGAGAGGCGTCGTCCGAGAGCGCCGCGGCGTTCGGCGAACCGAGGAACCTCTTGTATGTGTCCTGCAATGACATGGCTGCAGTTGGCAATGTTGAGTCTTGCTGAGGAAAGGATGACAGCGCGACGATGTTTTGATCCAATGCGATGCGCAAAAAGATAGCTGTGACAGTAAACAGAAGCTGACCAAGAAAGCAAGGACCTTGGTCAAAAGCTGTTTGTTGATGCGGAGGGAGAGGGGAGGATTGGGATTTTGACGAATGTCAACAAGAAGTTGAAGAGCTCCGCGAATCAATCAAAGGGAGAAAGTGAAAGCAGAAAAACAAAGCTGGAGTTCAATGTTGGGGCAGGTGCAAAGGAAACGACGGACGTGAAGTGAAGGATGGAAGAGAGGGCAACCTCAATGCAAAGGTTGGCAGGGATGGGATGCATACATAGAGGTAGGTAGGTAGGGGTCCACCAGGGCAGTCCACTTTCCACTTTCGCTCCCTTTGCTGGGAGCTTGGGTCCGAAGGCGCAGACAACACCTCACTATCTGATCTGCTCGTTCATAACTGCTTAAGAAGGTATGGTAGTGTATGGACATGAGGGAAATTCCATTTGAAATCAGCAATCTCTACTAAACAAGATTCGATGGAAAAGCAAGCTGCTTGTGGTGGTGGTGAATGTCAAGTCGAAACGACCTTGGTGTTGTTGACCACAACGTTGAGAGAAATCTTTTTCCAATCAGAATCACATTTCTCAGAACGCATCTGCTAGTGATCACGCAGGCACAGGCAACATGCTTGTGAGCCCTCGTGCTGCATTAGTAAGAGGTTCCTTGATTGGACGCCCTAGCAACACTCCCTCTGCACCATTATGTTGGTTCCTTTTGAGCCTCAGTACACAGATAAACATCGGACAACCCATGTCGAAGTCGGTGATCATGTTCAACAGATCTTTGTGATTGTGGAACAAAACAGACGTATCATGGTGTTATCACTCACACGGAGAGCCGGGCAACGGATTGATTCCCTTGATAGCGGTAGTTGATGGTACGTACTCGGGGGCCTGGAGTTGCGGGGTTGCACGGCCCCATGTGCTCAAGTCGCATTAAACTGCAAGGAAGAGCTCCATAGGTGGTGTTTCAGAGGGGGCAGGGGTTGGGGTGTTGGAGTAGGAATACGCTATACCCGATTTTGTTGATGGTGAGTCCGCTGCCTGCCACTCAACGCAACAAACGGCCCTCCATCGTTTTCTCTTTTGTTTTGTTTCAACTTCAACATCACAAGTCCAGAACATCTCAACACCACCATCCTGTGCTTCAACATCCCTCAGAACCCCCAATTTGTCTGACGGACCCTTTACCGAAATGAATCCCCGTCAACCATGGACTAGGTATCAATGGAACCCCGAGCCGCAATAAGCAACTCGACACCGTTCCACTTGACGACATCGTCTCCCACACCACCGACTGGCCTGTTAAAGACACACCAATCGGGAATCCATGATTGGACCAATGCTCGCTCAATCTACTGAATGGCGGGAAAAAGGCGGTATCATCGGTCTCTGGTTACCACGAATCACAGTGACCCTCATGGGGCATAGTCAGCGTCGCTCTAGCCAAATAGTTCGTTTCAGGTGAATATGTCAGCTCTACCGTGCCAAACCGTCCCCGTTGGCCGCTTCTGGTTCGTCAGATCAAGCAGCCTTGCGAGACACGCTCTTTGTGAAGCCACCTGAACCTTACCTAGGTATGCTGTGCCACCTTACGGTTTGCTCTTGATACCGCTTGTGTTGCCAGCAAACCATCCGGGAACCACTCCCGGTTGGAACGAAGCCTTGTTCTAGCACACATCACGGCATGGATCTGGTGATCAAGTCCCAAAACTAGCTGATTGCTGGTTTTGCACGACACATGCGATATCCGCATATACTTATATCATCGCTGTTACACTGAGGTTTATTTTCGCTCTTTTTCTTCTTGCCTCTTTTCGCTTCCCCCAAGCGAGCTTATTCTTGGAAACCCACCCCATGTTCTAATCTTAATACCCGATTCGGCCACCTTCAAATATCTATCCTGAGATATCCTTCACCTCCTTTCAAAACCAACAACCACAGACTACGCGAGAAGCAACATGCTGGTCCCACTAATGTTCTTGCCCGACCTGGAGGGAACCTCCAAGACACCGGAATCTCGTTCCAAGACAAGGCTCAAGCCACAGCTACACACGCAGAAAAACCACAACTGCTACAACGGCACCCGAACACTGCCGATCGCCACTCTTGTTCGACCTCAGCACAACTCCACGCCAGACTCGGACTCTCAACCCCAGCGCGAGGACAAGCCCAAGTCAGAATCCAAAACCCATAAAGACGAGTCTCCGCTTTACGAAGTCACCCTCTACTACCCTCACAACCGCGCCTGCACAATATATCGCTCCAGGGAAGACTTTTGGCTCTTGAGAACAGGCCTTTTGTCAAGCTCGTCGTCCACCGCCCCACAACCTCTCGCAACCCTACCGACCGAAAACAAAGAAGAGAGTGAAGGAGACTCCGAAGATGTCGACAAATGGGATGCAATGCTGAAGGAGGCATTAAAGAGATTCAAAACGAGTGGCCATGGCCGTCACTCGGTTGAATGGTTCTTGAGGCGGCGGTTAGGAGACTGTGAGCGGATGGCGAGTGGAAAAGGCGCAGGACTACCGACTGGGACGACAAGACGAGTGAGGATCAAGAAACCCAGGAACATGGACGACATGAAAACAATGGATGAAAGAGCAGGAATGCAGGGGTACTTGGTGGATTTCATGGCCAAATTGGACGAAAAAGTCGCGGTCAGGGACGGAGTATGTCTACATGACAAGGATACGGAGGAAGAGGATGACGTGATATCGAGAGAGATTTGGACAGATGATGAATTGAAGATTGTCAAGGACGAATCAGTCAAGGACGAGGGGAAGCGCTGTGGTGAGGGAAAAGAGGCAGATCGAGAAGGAGACAAAGTCAACGACAACCCGACCGATATTCACACGGCAGAAGAAACCAGGGAGAGACAGTTTAATGGTACAGAGGTTGTGATAGGTCTGGACACGATTTCGCTGTGTCAATCCAAACCTATCCCTGACCTTAGCAATCTTGGAGGGCAGTCTATTGCCGCTCGGAGGAAAAGCAGGCAAATGACTGAGAATACAGGACCCTTGGACCAGAAGACAGTACCCAGTACTGAGGGAGCCCTTCAAAGAAACATGGATAATGTCGAGACGTCAATATTGAACTCGGAATCGGCGGTGGGGGTTGACACAGACGAGGACTCGTCATCCGACGGCACAACGGTGCTTACCCCAACATCAAGTAGCGCTGGTGAGATGTCGCCAGGCGATCCACCTCCCGACGAGGCTCACATGTACAAGTTTATGTACTCCCCAAGAGCCTCAGATTCCGACTGGGGTCCTGAAGATTCTCAGTCTTCACCAACAAAATGACTTGACACTCACACACTCTGGTGGTAGCGATTATTGGCGTAATTTGACAGGAGCTGGATGGGGGGAAAGGAAAGGCATCATTTGCAACTCGAAGGCTGCTATATTTTGATAACTCAATGATATCACAGGATGTTTCAATCATCAAGTCTAAACCTAAGCCTCAAGCTACGATACGCTGCCGTCGTTCTTATGCCCGCCGTGTCGCTGTTTACATGAACTCAGGGGCACCCCAATAAGACCCCTGCACCAACTGTTAAAGTTGTAGGGGACGCAGCGGACATGGACGTCACTAAAAGGCTAAAAGCGGGAAGGACCGCTCCACTGGATGATCGCCGTAACAGCCCGCCGAGCCCCTAAAAATCCGGGGTGGGATCTGCCCCGCGTTCGAGGCCTGAACCTAAGGGAATTTCCACACCTGAGATGGAAATCCCCGTCACGAAAAATGCGACAACTCTCTGTTCTCCTCCTCCTCCCTCCCTTTTCCCTCTTCATCCGCCCATTGCGCCCGCCTCACAACCCAATCCACCGCAATTCACCTCCAATCCATAAGCCACAATGGATATCGACGACATCCTCCGCGAAGTCGACCCCGTCTCGCACCAGATCCCGCAGGAAACGCGCGACCTGCAAGACCTGACGCGCGCCTGGGTCGCCGAGCGCTCGACACCCGAACTGCTTCCCTGGCCCTCCAACGGGCTGTTCGAGCGCATCAACGACAAGATCAAGCGGCAGATAGAAAAAGTGGAGGAGATGACGGGCGACATGGACCCCAAGACCAATTTCGCCCTGATTGTCATCCAGACCGAGTTGGAGAGGTTCAAGTACTTGGTTAGGTCGTTTTTGAGGACGAGGATCGCAAAGGTATGCCCCCCCCCCCCCCCCCCCCCCCACGAAGCTCTTTACTTGCTAGGTAACTCAGGAGAATACTGACACCTGAGAATTGGGTAGATCGACAAACACCTCCTCCACTACATCTCCAACGATAACCTCCGAACACGCATGTCGCAAATCGAAGAGGCGTACGCGCGAAGACACCAGCTCTTGTTGCACAACCACTACCTTAACTCTTTCCTGGGGACGTTCCCGCCCGCAATGCAAAATTTGAACGACACGGCGGGAAATATCAGCATGATTGACAGTCCTGACCTCGACTCGGCCGTGTTCATTCGCTTGTTGAAGGACGCGGAGATTGAGTGTCACGGAGTCGACGTCGATGGTGTGCTCACGGGCAAAGAGGGGGATATTGTCATTTTGAGGTGGTCAGATGCAAAGGGGTTGGTGGAAAAGGGGGATGCTGAATTGGTTTGAGGCTGCCACCATGGATGAATGACCTGTCTACAAACAATGAGGGGTAATGGGCTTACGCTTGTCGACATTGGACGATCACGGAACTTGGGCGTTGGCGGAAGCTTTATCTCCAGGACGTCACTCAACACCACCAAATCGACCGATCGACGACGGGAGGTATGGCGAAATGCCAAATACTCGACCCCGTTGAACGCGGGCGATTGTTATACAGCCATCTCATCGGTGTTTGCGGGACGAATATCGGGACCGGGTTTGCCAGCTTTGAAAAGGTTCACGCCCACGGCTACGTCGCCATGACGTGCGGGCGGTATGAAACCTCACGATGATCAGACGAACAGCATCAAAGACGACGACGAAACAGCAGCACCCGAGGACACATCGCTAACAACGACCTGCTCACCTCCCCATCCACAATCGAACATTTTGCAGCAGCGGGTACACCCCCAAAAGCACGCATCATGACCACCGTCGCCGCCGCCGATTCCAAAACCATTGTCCTCATCACCGGCGCCACCCGCGGCATCGGCTTCGAAACCGCCAAACACCTCAGCACCTCCCCCGACCAAGATTACCACATCATTCTCTGCGGCCGCCGCCCCTCCTCGGTCGAGTCCGCCATCACCATCCTGCGCTCCCTGCCCAACCTCCACGCCTCCACCACGTTTGAATTTCTGAATCTCGACCTAACCTCCGACACCTCCACCATCTCCGCCGCCGCCGCCGCCGCCCACATCGCCGCCAAACATGGCCACCTCGACACCCTCGTCCACAGCGCCGCCATCTCCTCTTCTTTTCTGCACACCAACGTCACCGACCCACGTGCGCCCGAGAGGGCAAGAGAGAACTGGCATTCCATCCTCGACACGAACCTCATCGGCCCCGCGCTCCTGACCGACGCACTCCTCCCTTTACTATCTGCGTCCCAAAAACCAGAAAGCAAAATCATCTTTGTCAGCTCCGGGCTGGGATCCATACCCTACACTTTCAACAACAACCATGACGAGGCCGCCAACAGTCGCAGCAGTCTCGACTTGGATAACGTCACGAGCAAATATACGGAATTCAGCGCTAGTAAGGCGGCGTTGAATATGTATGCTAAGCACTTGGCGTGGAGATTGGAGAATGCAAAGGAAGTCAAGATACTAGGAGACACGAAGGGAGGGCAGGAGACTAAAAAGTGGAAAGTCAATGTAGTTTGTCCGGGGTATACGTCGAAGACGGCGGGGGGGTTGGATAGTTTCAGGGGAAAGCAGGAGCCTTGGGAGGCGGCGGAGACGGTGGTGAGGGTTGTGCAGGAGCAAGGAGAGAAGACGGGGACGTTTAGGGATAAGGAGGGGGAGGTGCCGTGGTGATGGGTACCTCACAGTAAGTAGTGTGGTGGTGGTGATGGTGGTGATGGTGAGGACTGCGATATGGGAGATGGGAGTGTGGATGAGGGTTAGGGTTAATGCAAGGACTTTTACACCTCCTCCGGCATTTAAAACGTTAGCGCGGTGAATTGAGGTAGTGGCAATAACTTAATTCTCCTTACAAAAGATGCCCACTTTACTCACCTCCAATGCCCTGAATATTGTAGAGTGGCGGTACCACGCTAACGAATTATATGCCGACAGAGGTGTACGGAAAGTGAGAAGGAGGGAGGTACCACAGTTGAGGAGGCTATTCACACCTCATCTACTCCTCGCATCGCTCGATGGACCGACATGCTCGTAATGTATGTACTATCGATGGCATTTTTTGGGCTTTTGTAAATTCTAAAAATAACCATAATTCAGAAAAAAATCACGCAAGTGGACATCGATCTGATGACTGTCCCGTTGATCTGGTAACGGCCCTTCCCTTTAACCCTGACCTGCACCAAAGCTCCAACAAACTTCTAGACTAGTCGTGACCTCGTATTTATTTCCATGCATGCCTGCATGCATGCATTGAGGCAAAAAAAAGGACCCTTCGTACATTGAAGAAAAGATCAAAGCCTCATCGTCCTGGTTTTTACATAGCTCAGATGCTAGTGGATGCGTCCCAGCAGCAGCAGCAGCAGCAGCAGCAAAGAGGCAAAGTGGTCATCAGATAGTGGAAAACGGTTGCATATCGTTGGTTGGTTGGCTAGGAAGTCCCTCGTATACCTAAAACGTGTGGCTATATAGGAAGCTCTGGTTATTTCCGGATTATGTAGTGTACTAGGTATGTAGTACATACACACGGGGCACGACGAAGCTGCACAAGCACAAGACTTTTCAGGTCGGTCGGCCTTGGGGGCTCGGGGACCTCGGGAGAGGCGCGTGTAGTTTCATGTCAATTTGATTTTGGTGTATACATACCACAAGGTGTATATACAAGATGATGTATGTACAAAGTACTACGGAAAATTAAGTCAATAAAGTTTGAACGAACACAAGCTAGGTACGTACGTAGGTAACTTTTCAAGATTTATCTACCTTGCGCGACTTGTCACAGGGCCTGCCTGGGCCGGACCTACTACCTCTACGAAGGAGCAAAAAAAAAAAAAAAGGTTGTTCACGATGCGATTCGATGCGGTGTCTGTGTGTGTGTGTGTGTGTGTGTGAGCGTTACATATCTAAGGTAACGACGGTCAAGGCGTGCCGCGTTTTCGGGTCAACTGAACTTAACAACCAACCAAGGTAACCTCCAAGATTTTTACCACCTTGCTTGATTTCTTCTGTCTTCGTCTATTTATGGAACCAGCCTCTCTCTCTTTTGTGGTGAATTGGATGTTGGAGGCCGTTGACAGAAGCTGGAGGTTGGTAAGGAAGTGAGTGTTTCACTTCTCTCTCCAGCGACCGCCTCACATTCAAATCCAAGCCAACAAACAACTTAAACTACCACCTAGCGAAGCCAAGCGAGGACGATGCTGATCACCCACCCTCCCAGTCCCAGCCTTCCATCTGTGTCAGTCAGTCAGTCAGTCAGTCACATTGATCATGGTCATGCAGTGGCTTGCGCTGAGCGGTCCGGGGGCGGGGTGGTGGCTGGCTTGGACAGATTTGATGGATTTGGATTTGCAGTGAGGCGTGCATCTTCCAGTCACTTCTTCTTTTCTTTTTCAGTGTGTGTGCAGGACACTCGCTGTGCAGTGCAGTGCAGCGCAGTGCGGCGCATCGTCCGTTCCATTCCTTCCACTTTGGACGGGCACTCCTCGGCCCGCCCCGCGCGGTCTGTCCTGTCAACTGAAGTTTTTTTTTTTTTTTTTATCAAATTGAAGTTTTGCGCAATCGCTTCCATTGGTCCTGCTTACTTGATCTCGAAACAAGTCCAATATCGTGAGTGTCGAAATCCGTCATTTTCCAACTTTTGTAAAGAAAGAAAAAGAGGAACACAATGGAAAAGAAAGGAAGCTGAGAGAGAGATAGAGAGAGAGAGAGAGAGAGAGAGAGAGAGAGCAGAGCAGAGCGCGTGGCCCAGCGTCAAACAACAACCGACACGAATTGCAACTACACTAAAAACTCCGAAACTCTGTCTCAGTTTTGATTGGTCACTGCCCTGAATGGGATTACCGAATCGGGAAGAATAGTAGCACCACGCCCACTCTTTTTTTTGTCCTCTCGTCAGTCGTCACTTCCCTCAGCTTTTCCTCCTCGTCTCGGCACTGGCACTGGCACTGTCCAAGCCCGGGCGTCTCCTGCGACGGGACCTGGGACGGGAGGATGGCTCGATGGATACCACCTACCCAGGGCACCACTACCACCACCATCGCACTGACAGATAGGTATTTTGGACAAAGGAACGATGGCTGGATGTGGTAGGTGGCAGCAAGCAAGTAATTTTATTTTGGTTACAACACCCGCCAAGTCAAGCGAAGTGCATAAAGTTCTGACCAAGATTGTACATATATATCCCTGTGACCGGTAATTAGAGATGGTATAACTGAGTGCTTTTAACGATATGCAGACGCAAACAAGAACGTCTGTGCTCGTAAGGGAATGAACAGCAAAGGGATCATCGTGGGAACGGAAGGGATGACATTGAACCACCGGCAAAAACATCAGACAATCAATCTCTTCTCGCTCTGCCGTGTCTGTCTGTCCTTATTTCGCGAGCTCACACAAACACACAACCAACGCTTGAACCGGGTTGGGAGGACTGACACGACAGCACAGCAGAGAGGTTCGAACGTCTTTAACAACGACACAACACAGCACAACATATCCACTTTCGAGGCGCATCCATTGCTCTCGTGGAGATCAGTACGTGGTGTTTGTCTCTACTATGGTACTCCCATGTCCCATCTGATGCCGTCCACCACTCAAAGGGCTCGCTGGCTCGCTGCCGCCGCTCAGACCAGGCACCCCCCCCCCCCCCTGTCCCCTGTCCCCTGTCCCCTGCCTTCGTGTCTGTGGACATTTGTGGGGGAAAGACTGTCAGTGGAGACACACACCACAGCAGCGCCCATCGAGCAAGTCCAAGACAGACTGGAGAAGAGAAGTCAGTGGAAATTACCCACCAAACATGTTTCCAACTTTGCAACGACGACGACAAGTCAGCTAGGCAGGCAGGCAGGTACCCAAGGTATCGTGACCTTGTTTTTTTTCTCTTTCCCTGGCCACCTCATGTTCTATCCTAGTATTCCGACCTTTAGCTGTTATGCTACGAAAGGGTATAACCGAATCGAGTGTGCTCAGGCAGGGATATCAAATGGATCGATGAATTGTCCAAGTGGTGCTTGACGGTAAGCTACGGTAGGTTCTGGTTGCTACGGCGTGAATGGAGAAGAAGGTCCGTAACATGGAAAATGGAGACTAGAGGACTGGAGCTAGCTAGGGAAGTGGTGCCCGTGGGTGGCTTTGCATGTGTGTGTGTGTGTCTGTCCGTTGGTTCTTGTCCACACTCCACGCAGCCATGTCATGTCGTATGAGTGAGTCCATTCCCTTCCCTTCCCTTCCCTTCCCAGTGGAAGACTCCGACAGCTGCTATTTATATGACAAAACATATAACCTCCACCTCCCTCCTCCTCCCTTCCCTTTTTCCTTTTCTCTCTCTTCCTCTCCTCAGAACTTTTTGTTTTGTTTTGTTTCCATCCAAGTAAGATACGCGTACTGACAACCGACGACACACACTCGCTCTCACACTCGCGCTTGTTGAGATTTGCTGTTTGCATAACACGACGACGATATAAGATATCGGAATACCTTCGCTTTAATATCTAATACGAACCGAAACAAAAACAAAAGACACGAAAATGCGCTTCACACCTCTCATCCTCACCGGCCTCTTCGCCCTCACGGCGAGCGCCCAAAACGCCACCACGTCGGCTTCGTACCCTGTCAACTCGGAGCAGGCCGCCATCACCAAGTGCATAGAGGCCTGCGACGCCGGCGACGTTTCTTGCACGAGCAAGTGCATTGCTGTTCCTAACCCTTCTGATTCGGATGTACGTTACTAACCTACTTACCTCCTCACTCTTTCTCTCTTCACCTGTCACTCTCTTTCACCACTTTCAACAACCCTCAGCTCCACCAATCTTTCGCCAACACACACACACACACCCAACACACACTAACTCTTTTTTTCCTCCAGGTCAACGCAACCAACGACTGCGTAACCGCCTGCCCCAAAGGCAGCGGCACCGACGCCGACAACGCCGCCTACCAATCCTGCGTAGAAGGTTGCATCAGCCAGCACTACTTCACTGCCACCACGGGCGCCGCGGGCGTTGTCGTCGCCAACCCCACCGGTACCGCTCTTTCTGATTCTGGTACCACGGGCGTGACCAAGACCAACGTCGTAGTAGTCAGCACCATGGTCAGCGGATCGTTTACCACGACAATCACGAGCACTAGCGCGGCTAGTGGTGCTGAGCCTACGGAGACTTCTGGAAGTGATGATGACAACAAGGGTGATACCAGCACGGCGTTGGTGGAGAGCACGAGGAGTGCGGGTGGTGCAGCGGGACGGGCTGCTGGGGCTGTGGGCGGGTTGGGTGGCTTCCTTTGGGCGGCGGCGGCTTTGCTTTAAGGGATGTGAGATTATGAGAACATGAGTTGGGGTGGGTGGGATGATTGATGGCTTTGGATGGAATGTATGATTTGATGTGATGGTTATGGCTATGGGCTGACACGATGGAATGAGCGGATGGGATTGTTATGGCTATGGATTGATGGTTATATATGGTTTGGATGCATGATGATGATGGCTCGGGATGGATGACTGATGGATTTAATGGGGTTTCTTGCTGCATCTGCGGCGGTTTGGGTCTGTCTGTGTTTGATATCACCTTCCTTGGAAACTTGGGATAAAAGTTGAAAGGAAGTGGTGACGAGCGGTATTGTAGTATATAAAGCACAGCGGTTTGAATTACTTTGTGGATACACATCTGAGCTGAACTTGTGTATGGGTTTGATCGAGTGTTTTTTGCTTCTTTGGTTTTTTGGTATCACTAGGTTGTTGTTTACTTCCTCGTAGGAACGGTAGGCTCGATATCGGTTACCCAAGGAAGACCGAGCTTCTTCATCTCGACGGCCAGTTGGAAGAGGTAGTCCAAGCTGTTTGTCACACAGATCCCACGGTTAGCTTACGGTCAGACAACAACAATAGGCAAACACAGACACGAGAAAAAGGACATACCTCTCGCACATGGTCTTGGCCTTGTGCACATTCTCCCCCCACACATAGACACCATGCCTCCTCACCAACACCGCATACGTATCCGGGTACTTATCCATAGCCTCCTCCAAAAACTCCGTCAAGTCCTCCTCATGCGCCGTATTCTCAATCACCGGGATCTTCAACGTATCATGATATCCCAAATTCCCACTCTTGCCAAACCCCTTTCCGAACCCCTTGATCTGCTCAATATTGTTGATCATAAACTCCTTGTCCTTGCCCGCGCCCTGCGTCTCCAGAATCAACGTAACCAGCACCGCCCAATGCGAGTGCGTATGGATACAACAGCCCGCATTGCGCTTGGTGAACGCCGCCAGAAACAAGGGCGTGCACTGCGAGGGCTTGTAGTTGGCTGGCGAGCGGAGGTAGACGCGTTGGCGCTTGTCGAGCGATTGTGCCTGGGCGGCTAAGGACAGGACGTAGATGTCGTCGGGCTTCATGAGCTCCTTTTGGACGCCCGAGGGGGCGAGGTAGACGAGGTCATCGGATCGGATGGAGGCGCCGCCGCCTGTGCCGGTCACCCAGCCGAGAGTCCAGAACTTGGCGCAGAGGGCGGGGATGAGGTTGGCGGGGTGGTTCGGGTCGGAGGATTGGACTAGGTGGTCGTTGTTGTTTTCGGGGGTGGTGGTGGGAGAACACATTTTGGCGATGGGATCGGGGCTGGCCGAGGGTACCAAGCAAAACTCTGGCTGGGGATGTGTCGTGAATTGTTACCAGACGGACGGCGGGGAACGGGGAAGGGTCGCGGAGTTGGGAATCGCGGCGCGGGCTTTGGGTCGGGTCCCTTCAGGCACGGAGCGGAGGGGTCGATTTCGCGATTGATTTCGATAGCGGCCGTTGACGTGCGCGGACGGGAGCAACCCAAGTTTAGCGCCAAGAAATAAAAAAATTGTGGTCCCGCCCCCAGTTTAGGTAGAGGACTGGGATGCGGGAAGAATGGCGCTATGGATAGGTAGTGTCGGGAGCTTCTGCCGTGCGGATCCTACTTGTCACCGTGTAAATATGTATCGCAGTTGAAGTTCTTCGAGATTAAGACTGGCGAGATGAGCCTAAATGGGACGGATATTGAAACGGACGAAGCCACAGTATTAGTTCATTCAAAGGGTTGGTTGAGCCGAGGGAACTCGAATGAATTTGAAGAGTTCGTTCAAAGTTTCAGCCGGCTCTTTGCTACACTTTGAGGCGCCATCAAGAACTTACATCCGTGGCTCTCGAGAACTGACCTGCCAATTTACCTCCAAGAGGCCATCAAGGCTCCGACTCGGGTTAAGATGTCTTCAACTGTTAGCCAGACTTCTTTTTCAGAAGGTGTTCGCCTTTCCATACTCGGAAGCTGCAAAGCTCCGTTGCCAGAATGGTTACTTATTTGATGCGGATCCATCCGACAAAGATCGAGATCTCGGAACAATAACACTTTACCTTCTGGAAGACGCGGTGGTGGAAACCTCGAAACAGGTAGCATATATTTCACCGCACAAACATCACCATTGTTCATACCAGACGAACAGAGACAAACAACTGGCGAGAAAGCGTTCATCTCTCTGCATGGCCATGCTCGTGGTCGAAACGGAAAGCCCCACATAATCTACACGCGCTAAAATGAACGACTCCAACACAATTGACCAACAGGATGCTTCCATGGCCCCATGTTTTGGTGCCGGTGAAGACATTCCGATGTTGACACATTTACACCGGAAGACCAACAACCACAATAACAGGTTCAAGCTGAGGAAGCTGAGGTGAGAACCTACCGTTTGTGCCACATACACGTTGGCTCTTTTGTGCATGGCAAAGAGGGATGACAATGGGTTCCAAGACTAAGAGAACAATTACTTGTAACATCAAGATACACAGTACACAGTCCAAGGTTGGCCAATGAAAAGAGAGACCCCTGTCGTCTGTCCAATCCCGTCCGTGGAAGTTTCGAAGCATTTCCACAAGTTCCAGCCGACTGGACTCCGAAACGGCGCTGAGAGGCCACTTTGTCATAAGATGGAGCCTCCAGCAACAGGCCTGTGCCTCAAACCTGCCCCCGCAATAATTAATGTTGGTCTCCGCAGCATCCCGCCCGCTGCCGCCGCGCCAAAGCTCCCCTCCCCCCCCAGCAGCTGTCATCTCAAGCAGGGCGGCCCATTAAAGACACGTTGTCACTTGTGAAGAGGTCACTTAATACCGGGCACGCCTGGAAACTTTTAATTCATCATCATCCACCGAAACCCTTTCCCCCCATCGCCGCCTGCATTCTTCTTCCTCTTTTCTTTCCTTGTGCCGTGGGAGTGAATATCCATTGCCCAACAAGGTTCTTGTCTCTGTCTGTCTGTTTGTCTCGAACTCGACCTCGACTTCGACTTTGTCGTCTTTCTTTCAGCAACAACCCCTCTCTCCATCCCCAACACCTCTCTCAACCACACACACATACGAACGCGACTGCGAATCCAGTTGAGATAACAGCCACTTCGCCTTCATCATGAGGTTCAACGTAGCTGCCGCTGCCGCCAGCGCCGCCCTCCTTGCCGGAGGTGTCAGCGCCGACGACTCCCAAAAGGTGCTCAAGGACGAGAGCTCCTCCAGCACTGTCGCCGAGGCCGCCACCTCGGTTTCTCCCGCCGAGATCCCTACCTTTACTGTAAGTCGTCGTCGTCATCAATGCACTCCAGTTACTTCGACATCACGGACAGCAGCTGACCAATTACACACCCACACAGCCTACCAAGCTCAAGGCTCCCTTCCTCGAGCAGTTCACCGATGGCTGGGATGCGCGCTGGAAGCCTTCCCACGCCAAGAAGGAGACCGGCCCCGATACCGAGGAGGAGTGGGCTTACGTCGGCGAGTGGTCCGTCGAGGAGCCCGTCGTCTTCAAGGGCATGGAGGGCGACAAGGGTCTCGTTGTCAAGAACGCGGCTGCTCACCACGCCATCTCGGCCAAGTTCCCCAAGCAAATCGACCCCAAGGGCAAGGACCTCGTTGTCCAGTATGAGGTCAAGCTTCAGAGTAAGTCACTATCGCCCGCTACCCGTTTCTCATAACAGGCAATTGCTAACAGACACCGTTCAGACGGCCTCGAGTGCGGTGGCGCCTACCTGAAGCTCCTCCGCGAGAACAAGGCTCTCCACCAGGACGAGTTCTCCAACGCCACTCCCTACGTCATCATGTTCGGCCCCGATAAGTGCGGCCACACCAACAAGGTGCACTTCATCTTCAACCACAAGAACCCCAAGACGGGCGAGTATGAGGAGAAGCACCTCAGCGCTCCCCCGACGGCCAAGATCGTCAAGACCACGGAGCTCTACACGCTCATTGTCCACCCCAACAACACCTTCCTCATCCAGCAGGATGGCGAGACCGTCAAGGAGGGTAGCCTCCTTGAGGACTTTGTTCCCTCGGTCAACCCCGAGAAGGAGATTGACGACCCCAACGACACCAAGCCCGAGGACTGGGTTGACCAGGCCCGTATCCCCGACCCCGATGCCAAGAAGCCCGACGACTGGGATGAGGAGGCCCCGTACGAGATCGTCGACGAGGAGGCCACCATGCCCGAGGACTGGCTCGTTGATGAGCCCCAGACCATCCCCGACCCTGAGGCTCAGAAGCCTGAGGATTGGGATGATGAGGAGGATGGTGACTGGATCGCCCCTACCGTTCCCAACCCCAAGTGCTTCGAGGTTTCTGGTTGCGGCCCCTGGACCAAGCCCATGAAGAAGAACCCCGACTACAAGGGCATCTGGAGCGCTCCTCTCATCGACAACCCCGCCTACAAGGGACCCTGGGCTCCTCGTAAGATCGCCAACCCCGACTACTATGAGGACAAGACTCCCGCCAACTTTGAGCCCATGGGCGCTATCGGTTTCGAGATCTGGACCATGCAGAACAACATTCTCTTTGACAACATCTACATTGGTCACTCGGTTGAGGATGCCAAGGCTCTCGCTGACGAGACCTTCTTCAAGAAGCACCCCGTCGAGGAGAAGCTCGAGGAGGCTGAGAAGCCCAAGCCCGAGGAGAACAAGCCTTCTTCGCCCAGCGACCTCAGGTTCACCGAGGACCCCGTTACCTACATCAAGGAGAAGGTTGACCTCTTTGTGACCATTGCCAAGAAGGACCCCGTCGAGGCTATCAAGTTTGTCCCCGAGGTTGCTGGTGGCGCTGCCGCCCTCCTCGTCACCTTCATTGCCATCCTCGCTTCCCTTGTCTCTGGCGGCAGCTCTCCTGCCCCTGCTGTCAAGAAGGCTGCTAAGGATGTCAAGGAGAAGGCCAAGGACGTCAAGGACAAGGCTGCCGAGGCTGTTGCCACTGGCACTGAGAAGGCCAAGGAGGCTACCAAGCGCAACACCCGCAGCCAGTCGTAAGAAGCAGACAGACTGTGTTGTGGTGGTGAAGAAGTTGGAGGTGGAACTAGTTATTAACGGGTAATAAAAGGAGGCTGAGATTGTTGAAAGAGGAAAGAAACAGACTACAGGATCACCTCATCTAGTTGGGTGTTTTGACGTGACATGATGATTTTCATTTAGCTCTGAAGCGATACCGGCCTGGGTATAGTCGGCCAAAGGGTTCTTTGTGGTTTGGGTTCAGTTTCGAAGTGTTTGATCGATATCTCGGAGTATCAGGGTGGGGAGGCGCGCACACATGTATTCTAGCTATTTACCTAGGCTTATCACAATACTTTTTTGCATTATCTGAAGCAGTTAAGGCATTGTGGAGTGTTGATGTGACGGCGTTATCTTGACTGATAGTGACGGTGAACTCCGTGATGTTGTCTACTTAACACTACACTACTAGCCCGGAGCTTTGATCTGGTTGCCGGGTATCCGTTTCCTTCCCCGTCTTCCGCTGGGTTGACTTTGGCTGGGATGTGCCTGATGAGGGGGTCCCGCTATGAAGACACAGTGGAGAAGAGTGATCGCCGTCTTCCGACAGGGAGAAAGGGTCGAGGAAGGTCATTGGTTGGTCGGCAGGCGGCGGCTTATTCACTGCGAGCAAAGAAGCATCTCCATCTCTCCGCACTTCCCCCGCACGACAGCATGTACACTACGTATGCGCTAGGACGACACAGCGACACCGGCCACTGGATGGACGCCATTCATCAACCGAGCGAGCTGGTTCAAGCCGGGAACAAAGTCGCCTCGGGCCAACGGTGGTTTCGAATGTGTGGGAAAGCGGTATCGGTCCGTGTTTGATAAAAGGGCATCATGGCCGGACCTCCTATCTCCTTGCTGTCGTTGTTGATTCAACCAGTCAGCAGAGACCACGGGTAATAGGAATTAGGTCAAGGTAACAAACAGCCAGAGACTGACTGACCTCTACGGCTCTCGTCCCGTGATTGCATTTCCATTTCCTCTCTTACCTTCCGTCCTCCCTCGACTTCTCCCTGGTCCAAGACTTCACTCAACATGCAGCGCCTCACTTCTCGGGGTCTCTCAGCGTCTGCCTCTGCCGCTGGTCGTCGCCTCGCCTCCACCAGTTCACGCAGGGCATCACCACTTCTGCTCTCCTCCGCCTCCAAGATGTCGTCCCCAGCAAAGACCCCTTCCGCCACCGCGGCGCGAAGGATACATGCCACCGCCAACCACCTCCGTCCTGCCGCCGCAGCCCTCGAGAGCACCGCGACCAGCTATCCTACCACCCACGACAAGATCGCCGACGTCAAGGACACTCCTTGGTTCATCGACAACAAGTTCGTGACCTCCTCCACCACCCAGTACATCGATCTCCACGATCCCGCCACCAATAACCTCGTCACCCGCGTGCCCCAAAACACCGATGAGGAGCTCAAGGCCGCCGTCGCCTCGGCCCAGAAGGCCTTTGAGTCGTGGAGGAACACCAGCGTTCTCCACCGTC